CACACACACACACACACACACACACACACACACAGCTGTGTCCAGCTATCTATGTGGGGACATTCTATTGACTTCCATTAATTTCAGCAGCCTAACCCTGACCTCTTACCCTAACACTAACCTCACAGGTACCTACCTGACCCTAAAACTAACCTAAACTCAATTCACACCTTAGTCCTAAACCGAACCCCCAACCCACCAACAGTGTTTCCCTATAAGGGGACTAGACTCAGGCCCCCATAAGTAACATTAGGACCCCACAAGTAGGTGTGTATGCCAAAAAAAAAACTGTACCACAGCGTAGGGAATACCAGTCCCTCAGGACTTGCTCTGTGTGTTTGTAGCAAAGCATCGTCCACAACACATTTCAAGCAGTAATTGCCATCTTTGCTAGTAGCTGATGTCTGTTTATCAAATTTGACAGATTTTATATTTTTACATTTCAAAAATTTTTATTTGAAATGTACATCTGAAACCTGAGGTGGGTAGAGTACCCAAAAGTTGTGCTCAAGTAAGAGTGGTCATACTACATAATAATATTACTCAAGTCAAAAGTATGGAGTAGTAAAGCTACCTCTAAAAGTATGTTTTTCTAAAAAGTACTCAAGTAAATGTAACTACTAACTACCCACCTCTGTCTGCAACTGATTACCTTTTTGATGTCAACTTAGTTCAACAACTAGTTGACCTTAGCCCCACATATCAGTCAGTTTTGCACATATTGAGCTACTGTAAATTCTGGTGTGGTAGAAGCTGAGACTCATCCCAACACTTCAAGCATTAAAACTTTGGCATTTTAAACAGCAGGAGTGTCACATTAATACATCTGTGATGCAGAGGTCCTTTTTATTAAAAACATAACCAACAGAATAATATATGATTTTTTTTATAAGAAAAAAAGGCAAAAATAGCTTTGTTGATTAAAAACATGTAGATTATTTTTAAAGGGATGAATAAGACTCCATAGAATTAAAATTACAGCAAGTTTATGATGTCACTCAAAGACATGATGTTTCCCTTTTAAGATACTGAATAAAGGTGTTTTTGAAAAATATAGAAATAATCATAAATTGGTTGTTTTTCTTGTTAATTCTTCTGATTTCTACCACTTCTCCTTAGTTTCAGGTAGTAGTGTTTGCTTAAAGGACACCTTCATAAAGAATGAATGATTGAACACAGCTGTTGTTTGCGTTGAACAGAGATTTGATTTTCTATTTATACAGGCTTAGTTTGACTCATACTTCATACGTCAGAAGGTGCCTGAGTCATTCTACAAATATTGTTTGATTAATGTCCATCCTGCTCAGCTTAGCGAGGACTTTTTGTTAATTTGTTGATGATGACACCTGCTGTGTTTCAGTAGATTTACAGAGAACATCCTCAGCGGGAGCCCAATCCATTTTGATCCATTTCAGTCCCTTCACTGGCTCTGGTTGTCAGAGGTGACTGCATCAGGCGTTTAACTAGTGCATGTTGTGTATTTCTGCAGCTCTGTTCGACTGCAGATAAGCTGCTTTATTGCCGTGTGTGTGTGTGTGTGTGTGTGTGTGTGTGTGTGTGTGTGTGTGTGT